AGAGAGAGAGAGAGAGAGAGAGAGAGAGAGAGAGAGAGAGAGAGAGATCCTAAGTTCCCATGGCTCCCTGGTCACTGCCACCCCAGGGCCTTCTATGGAGTGTGAGTCCCTCCACATCCCACAGCCACTTACAGAGAAGGTCGCACTGCTGTTTTCGGCATTCAGACCTCTCCGGAGTGTGACATAGGGAGCGATGGTGGACGACTGCTGGAGCCTGGACGTGGAGCCCGAGAGCCCTTAGCAAGGAAGAAAGACTCAGGTGTATGTGTGCGGTGGTTGGACACACCCCAAGCCTCCCTAATCACTCTCACACACACCCCTCTCCTGAGGGACCAAAGAGCCCTGCAAACAAGCCCCTAGTCCTGGTCTTTCCATCTCGGGTCTAGATGAGGCAGGACACACAGAGAGAAGAGGGTTGGCCTGGGTGGCTTTTGTCCCTACAGAGTTGTGCACCGCCCTAGCTCTGCTTCCATGCAACAAGTGCTGGGCTACAGCAGGCGGAAAGGGATACAAGAACCTTCATCCTCCCGCTTCATGGAGAGTCCAGCTAAGGATAAACAGGGAGCCCACTGAAGAGATTATGAGCTGAAGAAAGGACTCCCTGAGTCTCAAGCTGACACAGGTCTGATATGACATCATTGCTGGTTCCCAGCACCCCAGCCTGAAGGCTGCCATGATCTGGAGCCAGAGCTCTGAGACTGGTGCCCCCTCTGTGATCAGCTAACTAGCAATTGCTTAATTTCTCTTACCTTCAGTTTCTTTTGCCTTAACTTTGGGTATTGGATATATATATATATTACATGCAAGAGTTATGTGGACAGTTGTGAACCACCAAGTAGGTGCTGGGAATTGAATCTGGGTCCTTTGAAAGAACAGTCAGCACTCTTAACCACTAAACAGTCTTTCCAGTCCCTGCCTCCGTTTCTTGATCTCTAAAATGGGAATCATAACAGCACCTGCCTACCATCACTGCTGAGTATGAATGAGGCTCATACAGAACAGTTCAGCTGTGTCAGACTTTAAGGCAATCACTGTTGTTGCTCTTGGAGCCAAAAAAGGGGAGGAAAACCAAACGACTCCTGAAGTCAGATCAGTCCTCCCTCTCAGCAATCACAGCTAGATCTAAGCTGCAGGCCAGGATCTGAGGTCTGGGTAGAGGCTGTGAGTGTGTGCAAGAGTGAGATTCCTGAAGGGTTCACAGAGTCTTGCTTACCTCTACCTGGCAGCGTCTGATACCTGCTCTCAGAGCCCACAAGGCCCAAGGAGGGCTGAGGCACGTCCCCACTGAGGCTGGCCAGCTCTGGCTCACTCACATAGGACCGGAGCTCCACCTGTTGACAGAGTCTGAGGCTATCAAGTCATTAGTGTCACACCACCCCTTCCGCTCAGTGGACACGCCTAGTCTTCACAGCTTACCTTCAAGTCCCCGTTCACACACTGGCCCTGCTCCCGGTCCCTCTTCCTCTCGTCCGACTGTCGTTTCAGTCCACGCACAGATGTGTGCCGAATGATGGTGGCTTCTCTTGGCAGAGGTGGCACAGCCGGGGGCTGGTCCTCTGGGCTGTAGAGTTCAGGAAGTGGTGGCCTGGGAGGTGCCTCGTCTTCCTGTTCAGAAAGAGAATCAGATCCAGTGTCCAGAGGGATAGAATTGGGGGTGCTCTTACGAGGCACTTCAATGGGTCAGCCACTTCAGACGCATACTACCACCCCAGCCAAGGAAGCTGAGGGGCAACCTCCATTCCAACTCTTCTCTTTGATATGACATGCTTTCTAGTTTCAAAGTGCTACCAGTGACAGTGTGTCCCCAGCTCCAGCACCTGGTGTCCTGGATCTACGTTCTTGGCAGTGTCAAACGACACCTGCTTCCTCAGCATGTACAGCAGGGGAGGTAGGATGCTGACGACCACTTCTGAGATAGTGACAGCACCCACCCCAGGGACAGACATCTACCAGCCCTACAGTGTTCAGCCTGAGCAGACTCCGGGTGGTTCCACACATAGACCTGGGTCCTTCTGCATGTGGGGTGGAGAATCTGTTTATCAGTCAGCATCCTGTTATTGTTCTTGGAAATGAACCTTCTTACAAAGTCTCTCCTTTCCGACTAGCAGACTGAGGAGGGGGCAGGAGAGGCGGTTGCTCACTTCCTGAGAGGAAGGGGACAAGGGCCAGTCTCCTTGGTACTCAATGTACTTGCTGGGTTCTTGGGGGCTATGGTTCTTCCATGCCAGGAGACCTCATTGCCAAGAAAACTCACTCCCTGATGACAGCTGTGCCTCTTCCTCCTTAACTCTCCCCTCCTTACTCCAGTCTGACCTTCTATTTCAGAATTTCACAGAATTTAGGAGAGTGTCCAAGCTGGTTTTGCAAACAATTCCCAGCATTTTTTGAGGGAAAAACATTTCACATTTTAGTATGTTTGCACATGTGTGTCTGTGTGCACAAATGTGGGCATATACATGCCATGGTGTGCAAATGCAACATGTGGGAGTTTGTTCTCTTCTGCTTCCATGTGGGTCTTGGGGTTTCTAACTCAGGTTAGGCTTGGCAGTGAGGGCCTTTATCCGCTGATCCACCTCACTGGTCTCCTATCTGCAGCCTTTGAAAGCAAGCACTTCATTGGTGGGCAAAAGGCAAGCCATCTGCCTAAGACAGGCACAGGCTTCCTAGAATCAGCAGTTCCCAACCCTGACAAGCCATCAGAATCACTAGTATCCAGAAACCTCTCCACAAAGATAAGCCCAGAATACCCATTGTCTGTGACTGAAGAGAATGGCTAGAGATAGGGTAGCTGGGGGACGTTTTCTTAGACACTTTCTCTGTGGTTCTTGTTCCTGTGTTCTTTGAAATTACCATGACTGGTTTTTCTTTTTATTTATTTATTCAGGTTTTTTTGAGACAGAGTTTCTCTGTTACGCCCTGACTGGCCTGGAAATCAGAGATCTACCAGCCTCTGCCAGGATTAGAGGCATGTACCACCACGCTGAGACCATTTCTAGTTTTTAAAATGGTAGTAAGTTAAAGAAACAATGTGGGATCTCTGCACTCAACAAGACTGAGGAACTGCACGGTGTAGCTGTGTTCTATCCTGGCATAATTCAAGTGAGGAGGGATGCAAACATGGTGAGACAAGGAAAGAAACAGGCCAGGGAGCTATACAGATGGCAAGACCCACCAGCAGCAAGGGAGGAGCCACGAGGTTCGAGGCCTTCTTGTGATGGCCACACTCTGCTTATTGGTGTTGGCGTAGCAAGGATGGTGGCCTGATTATGATTCGCTGACACATTTTAATGTCGTTTTTCAGAACAGATATTTTTTAAAAACTATGCATTACATGTAGGTGCATGTATCCACATGTGGGTGTGTGCATACGAGAGCAAATGTCCTCAGAAGCCAGAGGCTTCAGATCTCCTGCTGTGGGTGCTGGGAACCAAACCTCCATCCTCTCAAAAGCAGCAAGTGCTCTCAATCACTGAGCTATCTGTCAAACCCCAGATATTTCATTAAAAAAAAAAAAAAATCAAAGGCAGGTGGCGGTGGTGGCACACGCCTTTAATCCCAGCACTCAGAAGGCAGAGGCAGGCACGTCTCTGTGAGTCCAAGGCCAGCCTGGTCCACAAAGTGAGTTCCAGTATAGCCAAGGCTACACAGAGAAACCCTGTCTTGAAAAACAAAAAACAAATTTGATATTTATTTTATGTGTACGGGTATTTTGCCTGCATGCATGTCTAGGAACATAAATCCTCAATGCCAAAAGGCATCAGCCTCCCTGGAACTGGAGTTACAGTCAGTGCTGGCTGCCATACAGGTGCTGGGAATTGAACCCAGGTCCTCTGCAAGAGTAGTCAGTGTTCTTAACTGCAGAGCCTCCTCTCTAGCCCCAGGACAGTTATTTCTGTTACACACAGGTGAATGTCTAAAACAAGCAAACAACCATACAAAATAATAAAACTGAGGCTGTCAACACTAGCTGCTTTTCCAGAGGCCCCAGATTCCATCATCTGCTCCAGAGAAAGTTGAAGTAGCTCAGAGAACTGAGAGACTAGCCAAGGACCCAGTGAAAAACTGAGGACCGGAACCTCAGTGCCCTGGCTCGCAGGCTAGCACCTTTCCCTCTGTGCCCAGCTCTGACTGCCAGGCACCTTGCTGCACATCAGCAGCCTCCTCTCCGTCAAGGCTGCTCTGGTCTGCACCTCATATCGGGCTTTGGGCAGGAGATCTCAAAATGCAGCAAAACCAGCGATTCTGCCAATGCAGCTTCTATGAGCCATTACCCATGCTGAGGCAGACTCTGCAACGATGCAGGTGTTAGGAGTCACTCATGTTGCTGTAAGTCACACTTCACCCCTGCTGTAAGGAACCCCAATAAACTCACTGGTCACCAAGCTGTACTTGGGTGGAGTCATTTCTCTGGTATGTTGTCAGTGTCTTATGTGAGGTGAATAGACTTGTGTTCATATCTCTGCAGGAAGTCATTCAGCACACCCTCAGCTCCTAGCTGCCATAGCTTACCGCCTGAGGCTTTGCCTTGGTTGGTGACTGCAGAGGAGACATCACTTTCCTCAGCTGGGGCGGGTGAGGTCGGTATGGCACATAGGTCTGCAGCTGAGGAAAGAGTCGGACCTCCAGAGGTGTCCGCACGGGGCTGGTGGGAGGGCTGGGCTGCAGGGCCGGCTTGCTCTCGGTTGGAGAGAGTGAAGGCACAGATGGGTGAGGGAATAAAGGCACCGTCTTTCTTTCTGAGGGTATGGGCAGAAACAATACAAGGGTGGAGTGGAGACTGTCTCAGTGCACAGGCCATTCCACCTGCCCCTCTGTGTCCTACACCAGGAAGATGGCTGACTGTCTTACCTGGATTTTTGACAGATCCCACCAGGACTCTGTAGTTCTCTTTATTCACACTCAGGCCTGCCATGACATCTTCAATCCTCCACAGATCCTTCTGTATCTGTGACTTCTCCTGGGGAACACAGGGGCCTGGTTCAGGATCTTCTTGGCTCCTCACTAGAAGTTTCTTCTGAGGATTTGTCTTAGTCAGAGTCCTTTACCATAGGGGTGGCACAACCTTTGGAACCTGCCAGGGCCCACTCAAAGTCTGCTTGAGAGCAGACCAGTGAGGGATGCTGGGGTAAGCAGTGTTCACCAGCTCAACTGGCCTACTTTACCTAACTTAAAAATAGATTGTCTCAAACAGCATAGGATGAACTTAAATGATGCATGCAACACCTAGTCAGTCTCACAGAGATGGAAAAGAACAGGGGAGCCTGGACCAGAGGAGGGGAGGGAGAAGAGAACAGATTTTCAGTTTCACAAGATGGAAAATTTTAGAATATGGCTGCACAACATGTGAACTGACTTATACTACTCAAGTGTACTCTTAAACACAGTTGGGATGCCTGGTGTGGTGTCACACACACCCTTATTGCCAGCACTCAGGAGGCAGAGGCAGAGGGGCAGAGGCAGAGGGGCAGAGGGGCAGAGGCAGAGGCAGTTCTGGCCTACATAGTTGAAGGCCAGCCAGGGAGACATGATGAAACTCTAGCTTAAGAAAAAAAAAATAGGCTGGGCAGTGGTGGCGCACACCTTTAATCCCAGCACTTGGGAGGCAGAGGCAGGCGGATTTCTGAGTTCGAGAGTTCGAGGCTAGCCTGGTCTACAGAGTGAGTTCCAGGACAGCTAGGGCTACACAGAGAAACCCTGTCTCGAAAAACCAAAAAAAAGAA